TAAGGAAACTGGGCGACGGCACGGAGTTTCGCAGTCTCAGGTAGAACATCATCCTTGCTGACAACATGCCCTAAGATGGTGAGCTTCCGGGCGGCAAAATGGCACTTTTTCAAATTTAGTTGGAGACCAGCATGTGTGAGACATTGCAGGACACTTGCGAGGCGCAGATGATGGGTACCAAAGTCTTTTGAAAAAAACGACGACGTCGTCCAGATAGCAAAGACACGTCTACCATTTGAGGCCTCGAAGTATGTTGTCCATCAGACGCTCGAAGGTGGCAGGAGCGTTTCAGAGACAGAACGGCATCACGTTAAACTCGTACAAGCCGTCCGGAGTTACAAACGCAGTGTTGGTGCAGTCAGATTCATCCATGGGTACTTGCCAGTATTCTGATTGAAGATCCAGCGAGGAAAAGAACTCTGCTCCTTGCAAACAGTTGAGAGCATCGTCAATTCTGTGCAGCCGATAAACATCTTTGCGCATGATCTTGTTAAGGCGCCTGTAATCAACACAAAATCAGATGCTCCCGTCCTTCTTTTTGACCAGTACCACTGGGGAGGCCCACGGACTGTTGGACGGCTGTATGACGCCACGTTTGAGCATATCAGACACTTGATCGTCAATAACTTGGCGTTCAGAGTGAGAGACCCGGTATGGACGCTGATGCAATGGTGCGCGGGCGTCGGTGTCTATACGATGAACAATTGCAGATGTTCGGCCCAAATTGGTTTGCTTGACGTCGAAAGACGTCCGGAAGCGGTCGAGAAATGTCAAGAGTTGGGTTCATTGGACAACAGGAAGGTCCAAATCAATCGATGGAAGAAAGGCGTCCAGGGAAGATGTGGTGGACGTAGGACCGGAAGTAACCCTGAGGATCTGAAGGCTTGTTGCGCGATCGAGCAGTTGACAGGGGCAAACACAATCAATGTCCTCAAAACGGCCAATGCATTCTGCTGAATAGTCTGGCTGGCACTGAAAGGAGATTTGTGGCGTAAATGGTTGCGGAAGTGTTTTCGACCATCAGAAGTGCAAAAGGTATAAGAACGTTTTTTCGAGACGCGAAGTCTTCAGACGGCGTGAACATGACGTTCGAAAAAGCAGCATGGTCGCAGGAGATCGGCACAATAACCGAAGACATAGGTGGGATATCCGTGTCTGTAGCGACGACAACACGAGAAAAGAAAGGCTTGTTAGAATCGGCGTCGGCGAGTGATGATAATTCCAGTTCGGCCCGGACACAATCAACAACGGCATGATGTGTGGAAAGGAAGTCCCAGCCTAATATCACATCATGCGAGCGGTATGAAGAAACCATGAATTCAACTACGTACAGAACGTCCTGGATGAGTAACTGAGCCGTGCACGTCATAAAAGGGTTTACTTGATGTGCGGTTGCCGTACGCAGGGAGAAGCCAGAAAGCGGAATCGTAACTTTCTTTAACCTGCGACACATTGCTTCACTCAATACAGACACGGCAGCTCCAGTATCGATTAATGCTTGAACAGCAACACCTTCAATAAAAACAGTTATTTTGTTAGTGGGTAGAGGACGAGGCCTTGTAGAGTTTGACGGTGGTGCAGTTCTTGCCTCTGGAACTGCGAGGGTCAGTTTCCCTTTGGGCAGGTGGTGCACGCCAAAGCATCGGTGAAGGCGAACGTCGGCGTGGGGAGGGCGATCGGTGCTGGCTGAAGGTGCGGCAGCTCGGTGGAGGGGTATCCGAAGTAGCATCAAGAGGAAGCGTCTGTGGTGGCTCTTTGTGGGTGTAGCTGTAGGTTTCATCGAAGGTACCTGGATGAGGGACGCACCGGCGACAGAACCACTCAACATGGACAAGCAGACGACAGTAGTAGCAGATGGGTCTGTTATCCGGTGTGCGCCAAGGATTGTTGGGAAGCGTTGAAGGATGGCGAAAAAGGCGTTCATTTGGTGGGCAGAGTCGACGACGTTTGACGGCGCATGTGTCAGCCCTCGCGCTATGTCAGCGTAAGTCAGGGGAACGGACACAGGCGGTGGCTGGTACGTGGGCGGGAGTGCCTCGCAGACTTGCTCTTCGATGCTCTGGCGCAGCGACGAGGTCAGCCTGTGAGTATTGCTGGGAAGGAAGGGCGCAAAAGACAACTGACAACTGTTGGATTTGCGGCGTTAATACTGTCTGTTCCGGTGAAATTGCACCAACAGTCAATGGTGACGTGGTCATTACGTCAAAAGTAGGGCGTCGCGTTGAAATGTACTGTGTTAGCAACTCATCGTAGTTTTAGCAGTGGTGAATAACTTTCACAACTGTTCGCGGGTCTTTCGCTACCAGAATGTGGAAGGCATCATCTTCGATGTCCTTCATAATGTTTGACCTTGGCTGTTTCGGACATGTCGGGATTGTAGCGACGGCAGAAGCCCACAACGTCTTTGATGTAGGACGTGCAACCCTCTCAAGACAGTTGGGCGCGATCTCGCAAGCGCTGTCCTGCGCGGAGCTTGTGCAACGTTGGGTCGGCCAAACACAAAGGTGATCCGCAAAGGTGATCTTGAAAGTGGCCCAGCGGGTAAGCTCCGCTTCATGGTTGTTGAACCAGAGCTCCGCTACTCCTCTCAGGTAAAAGTGGATGAGGCCAAGTTTGTCCTTTTTGTCCCACCTATTATCGACACTTACTTTCTCGTATGAAGAGAGCCAGTCCTCGACATCCTGCTCATCAGTGCCGCTGGAGATGGCTGGGTCTCATTCTCTGGGGACACCGGGACAGCGGGCAGGTGGAGATGTAGGAATGGTCTGCGGTGCAACGTCGGTGGACATCGTTGACGGCGAAGGTAGAGGTTGGTTGCGGAGGCGGAGTTCCAGGATGGGAAATCGATCAGCACCTCCACCACTTGTTAGTACGCCTTTAGCAGTGAGCCGAAGACACTTTTATTGGGGGAAACGCAGAGGTAAAGCCGACCAGCTGTCAAGCGGAGCGAGCGCGAGCAGCAACAACACTCTTCCTTCTTTTCTTTCACTCGTGCTCCTGCCTCTGCCATATATCAATGCTACAGTTAGTAAATATTTTACGTCATATTCGTGACGGACATACGTCACGTAGCCGTGGTGGACCCCAGCATAAAACTCTTTCCTGTTAAAAGAATCTCTTGTAAACAATAGAAATACTCTGAGTATATAAAATTAAACACAGGAGTAATTATTACACAGCAAAATATTTCTCTATTCCTGTGTATTGTACAGAAGCTTCCAAGACAAAGCTTCCTCATAAAATGTCTTTCTTTACAAGTAAACTCTACAAGTAAAGGACATTAAAAATGAGCCTATGATCAAGTTTACAATTACATTGTCACATGCACTAATGCAAGCACCCTGATAAGCCCAGTTCCCAGTGATATTGGTATGTGTTCTCAGGCAATGCACAGAAATTATAAAAAAAAGCATGAAAATGGGTGTACCTTTCTTTCTCTTATTTAATTTATTTGAAATGAAGCGGAATTTAATTGAATTGCATTTATTTGCTTCTTTAGAATAGTATCCTCAGCAATAAAGATATTGAACGAACTGATTGCAATATAATTTTAGCAACTACTTCACAGTTACAGGTAATCAAAATTAGCTTACAGGTTTTTAAGAACCAAGCTCTCAAAAATACATAAAATTCACTTCTGCAAGCATAAGTACTACAGCTACAGAGATACACAGTATCCCTATGGCTGTGTAGATGGTGCAAATGAAAGCTATTTAGTTTTGAATTTAAAATAATTTTTACAGTCATTTATGCACCTGACTTGAACCTGGGAATATGTGATCATTCATTCACTTATAAAATCAATATATGCTTTGCAATCAAACACCAGCCATTTACCAAAAGCTATATGAATGATGGCTTTGTATGAATGTTGAAAAACTTCAGTCTGTAGGCAAAGAAAATTTTAGCTTAATTGCAGCTACCAATTAGCAATCTGCTGTGCCTTCACATCAGATGCCAAGGAATCCATGTCGAAAAGACAAGTTATATATTTTAAAGACAAGTTATATAGATTATAGATTAATATATAGTATATATGAAGCCCCTAGGTTTCTTCATAGAAAAGTGCAACACCCCAATAGAAGTTCACAAGAAGATGAAGGCTTGAAGTCATGAGCAGTGAAGGAATGAATGTCTCTAAAAGCCGAGTTTCAACGAGGGCAGCAATCTTCCCCAAGGCCCTTGTCAAAATGTTGGCCGCAGCTACAATTCTTTTGACTCCTGCTCATCACATTTAGGTTAACGATAGGTGTTATGAACAAATTTAAAGCAGAAAAGCATCTCAAAAAGCATGAAAAGAATAATTTGCAACTACTGGAGGCAACGATAGTAAAAAAACCCGATTACAAAATGCACATTTTGTTCCTTAACATACAAAATGCATGTCTTATGCCTTGGAAACCAAACTGTTGAACACTTATCTAAGTGCTTAACAATATGCTGAAAAATTACCAAGTAAATTGATTCATTTTCTCAGGCCCAGCAAGAAAAGTGTTTATAGGTACAAATAAATCCATGTCACAATAATAGAGGTGAAAAGAGAGAATAAAAAATGATATAAAAGTACTATTAGTCAGGACTGCTGAACATTGTGTGTATTGCTCAAAGAAATCACGGAGAAAATATTTTCAAGCAAAGTTTTCTTTAAAGGCGATTTATCTTCTAATTACCTTAGATATGGCATGGTTTAAAACATTAGAACTCTTACAACCATTAAGAAAGCTGATATAGCCCGAAAATTACAAAGAAACCAGTCCAATACAAAAGAGACCTCTTTTCATGAAACAAAAATTTTAAAAATGCTAAATTTTGAAGGTATCCTTTAAGTTAGCATCAAAGAACTCCAGCTTACCAGCTAAATTTGAGCTTGTGTTGAATAATTTTAAAATAAAAAAATCATGCTACTGCTACATATATGTGATCTAGCCTTAGGTTGAAGCTAAGCATATCAAACACTTGTATTCAAACAATGAAGAAACAAGCAGCTAGTGAAACTGTACCTGCAGATCTTCTATCATGGCATCAAAGTCAAGACATCGATTCTTGGCATCCCAATAGCGGTAGTACTTGAGATTTTGAAAGCCAGCATGCTTGAATACTAGGGCATGATTAGCTAAAGGAAAAAAAGAAAACAATTATCCCTGTACTACAACAGCATAAGGATGACCAAATACAGTAGTAATCAGTACAAGGCTAAGCAATTACTGCTGAAATTTTAATATTTGAGTCACAATAATAGGCAGCATAACAACCTAACATGAGTATCACTAAGAACTATACCTCATGGCTATTGTATAAAAATAAAAAGTAAATGACACAAGATTTCACTACCTTTATATAAAGGTATAGCCCCTTTGTCAAAGAGCCATTTTGGCTCAGTAGTGTTGTTATAGGAAATTCAGATTTCAATCACCCTTTACCACCATATCCTGGAGAATTCGCACAGCTTTAATGAGAAAAATTTACTCTTACCAAGAACACATTATTGACACACCAGTAGTCAAAAAATAATATTTATGGAAGTATAAATCTTCAATATTTCAGAGAATGTATCTTGAAATTAAAAAAAAAAAGAAAATTAACCACATGGCCACTTGCAGCCCTTGTGAAGCACCTGCCCCCATGTCCAGTTGCTTGCAAAGAAGAATGAAGAAAAATGAAAGTACTTTCTACGCTTTAAAGAGTACTATTGCAAGCCGAATCATGATGTGTTGGCGATTGTGCATCGTGACCATACCTCAGCTTGATGGTTGTGAAATGGAGCACACGATGTCAATGTGGGCAGGCAATTCAGTACGAAAAATGCAGCAGCTGACCACCATTTCATGATGAAACGCAAACTGCTGTACAAGTCTGTGCACTGCTTATGTTTCAGCTTTCCCAATGAGTGTTGGCATTTCTATTTTTGTTTTGATGCTCTATCAGAGTTCTGTTGTACTTTATACTGAATGTTTTCTCAGACAATAATGATTTTTTCACAAAAATTCTATGACAGTCATGCTCCAGTTGTTTTCTCACACATAATTGATGCCAAGGCAGAGGTACATTGCCACAGTTAAAATGACATTGATAAGATTAACAAAGGCCCACTAATTAAAGTTTTCATTATTTATTTCAGGACATTTATTTATATTAAAAAGTTGTAGTGCGTGCCAATTTATTGCATGCCCACCTTTTTATAAATTGCGAATGTTCCACATAATTTGAAATATTCATCATGGAATTTTAAGGGTAATACCGAAACTAATCACTACCAGCAGGTAGGAAATGCAGCCTATATGTTATGCAAGATCGAAACTACGCATGATAAAGAAGTGGAACAATTTGAATCAAGGTGCACAGAAGCAGAACATGACCAGGAAAACTGACAAGCATTCTGAAATACACAAGTAGACAATTTACTCTATAGGTGCGATATGTAGTGCTCATCTGTTTCTTTCTTAATTCATATAGACAAATATGCAAAACTATTTCACCTATTTGCAAGAAGTGCCGCAGTGGCTACCCCTTGGCTTTATGCTTCGCAGAGCAAGAAGTTGATGTAATGGTTTTCTTGCACACAGCTAGAAGGACACTGTTAAGCAACATACACCGCCTGCAAAAGTAAGATCATACGCTGGTGCAAGTGAGATGATATGCCCGTTTTTTACACAAAGATATGACCACCACGCACCTTCATTCAAATTTCGTCACCTCCTTATCACAGATAGTTCAAGTTTGATGTAACAGACAGGCAGCACACTGTCTGCACACTCTGGCAGCCCACTATGCATGATCAGTTTCGATTTCAATCTTGAAGTTCAATGATGAATATCTTGATTTACATGCGACTTTCATCATTTCTAAAAAATGCGTATGCCATAGACTGACACCAACTACAACTTTTTTACATAAACACTGCCCTCAAGTCAAAAGCTCACAAAATCACATACAATTCACTTAAAGGGCCGCTGAACCACCTCTGATAATTTTTCAAACTTTTCAAGTAAACGGACACATTGAATTCAAAATGCAGTCATGATCAACAATGCCAAACAAGGCAGCACTAAAAGCTGCAGGCACCTCACAAATTTCGAGAAACAATCCCTTCTCTTCTCTGCATCTTTAAACACTCCTTGTCCCCTCAATGCTTGCCACGACATCAACATGTCATTTGCTCGTCAACTATAAAATTTGCTTGTCCACTTGCATGTGCGCGCACTTGCTGCTCATCCTCCTCACATAGTCAGAAGGAACACTTGGCCAGGAAAAGAGATCAGCCAATAAGCAAAGAAAAGAATGAAACGAGTGAGGCCGTCTTTAACATCATCAAATGAGTGAAACTCCACTATTACGACACTGTTTCAAAACATCTTCACAGCAATGTGTTCGCTGTATACTCGTGCACAACTGCAACACCACGACCAAGCTTCGACCTTTGGGTGGCTTAGGGGCCCTTTAAGATGACTCGAAGGTGAGAGCCATGTTCTTTTTCTTTCCAGTAAATGTATAGATCCTGCTGTCTAAAAGCTTTTTGTCTCTAATGTGGTTTTGCACTGCCTCAAAAATCCGAGATACCTCACCTGGTTTTACATTGCCTCCACGACCAGACCAATTTGTATGAAGCTAAAACGTGATGTGACGATGTCATCATGTCACTATGACATCACTGTGACATTATAATGACATCATAAATTTCAGTGATCTGTGACGTCATAGATAACGTCATAAGGTGATGCCATCCCATGATGATGACTTCTTTTCATCACCTGTTTCCAATGCCGCAGGACGCTGATGCTGTTGATGTGAGACACTGATGCTCAAATTTCATGCTTGATGAGGCAGTTGCCTTAATTAAAAACTAATTAACAAATTGAACATACAGCACAGCTGTTATGTTTGAGGTTTTACTAATATCAAAGATACAAAATTATATTCATTATGAAATGAACTGGCATGCGTTCTCTTCGTCCTCTTCTTTGCTCCCAGACCACTTGTGCCGATTTGTCCAGCATGGCATGCAACAACTTTTATGGGCAACAGAATGAGTACAGAGAGAGAGGAAGAAAAACTGAGAAAGTCATGGCGAAAAAAGTTGATAGGAGAAGTGGGACTTGAACACGTATCCCGACAATGTGAAGGTGAGCATCGTAATCACTTGACTATCCAGGCACACTAGCAGAGCACAGCATAGCCTTATATATTATAGTCAAGGTCAGAAAAGTGTTCCGGAATACTGATATTGAAATAAGCATGCTGAAAGCCTAAAATTCAGATACTGACACACAGTTGTGTTGGACACAATGGCATATTCAGAGATATTTTCGCAAAAAAGGTGAAAAAGTATTGTGGAATACAGATACTAGAATACTTTTTTTTCAGGAGTGCTGATGCTTCTCAATGACATTTATTGAGTGGTGCATGATATTGCGAATAATGTTTCAGCACACTGTAACTTGGATTTAATGCATATAGCTCGAATCACTACTGATCCCCAGTAATATAACCACTTCAGCAGCGTCGGCTACATTTGTGTAAGCAACTTGTTTATGTAGGTTGTGTCAACTTGTGGCCAAAAGAGAGCAGGATACATGATGGCTTATTAAACGAATGGAACCTTTTGCAGAGTCAGTATGTCTAGACATAACCTCAGTGTACAGCATATGACTACAGCCCATCTCTTTAGTGAACACACTATGAAGTTTGACAGGTCGATTGGCATGCAGCGTTCCTGAACCAACATCCAAGGTATTAATTTTCTTTGATCAAAATGAATGCAACCAAGAACTAATGCACACACACTTGCAGTCTATGACTTCACTGTTTTAAGTCAAAATGAAACATGACTGAGTGAATATTCAGTTACTTGCTAATTACAACTACTAACTAAACTTCACACAAAACACCACATTTCCTCAGTCGCTCCACCACTTTACACTCCTTTGGAAGCTCAATCAATGTGGCAGAAAGAGGTTTGCTACCTTCGAATTTGGGGTTCCAAAACTGCCTTGTAGGCATCGATACATAAAGAAAATCTGAAATTTTTGATGCCAAAAATCTTTGATGTCCCGTTTTTTGGACTTTCTGCCAGAATTTCAAGTCCAAAACAGCATTACTTGAGACCACACCTCTGCCACATCTACTATCTCTAAGTTCGAACCAGCATTTTCTTGAGTAAATACATTTTCGACTGCAGCAGAGACTGAAAGGTAGCTTTGCCAAAATACAAAAATGCGATTGGGAGAAGCATATTGAAAGACTGAAGGGGTCACTGCCATTCGGATGTTGACTGCATTCATTTTCTGGAAATCGGAATAGTTTGAATAGTAAAATTCCAGTGTACATTGAACTAAACACGCTATTAGAGCAATATTTGGTGTCTTGAATATTTGCACACACCTAAAAATCAGGGACTTTGCCCGCCACGGCGACCGCAATTGTCATCTAAAGGGCTGACAACACTGCTTCCATTGCTTTGCCATCAGTGGCGTAGCCTGCTTCGACCACATGTGCCATTATGTGCATCTGGGGAACTCATCAGTGCCACTACAGTGTCACCAATCAGTAGCCCACCTTCGCATGATTTAGCACAAAACAGTCTTCTTTTCCCCTTTCAAAAAGAAGGCAGCTCATTACCGACAAAAAAGTAACGAGATACCTGTGTCCTGAACAATCGATGGATTTCCTTACTGAGATAGGTTTACATATTTTAAATGTATCCTGATACAGAACTACTGATACACATAAGTATATCTAAGATACTATCACGATACTCTTGTATATCAATAGTATCTTGTATCGCAATACCGTTTAGCCTTGAGTATTGTATGTCAAGAGGTGGGAAAGGGTAGTAAGGGTGAGGAAAAGGTTGAGAAGGGAAAGGAGAAATGGAAAATGAGTACAGAAAGAGAAAAAATAGAAAGAAAGAAAAAAAGAGCAAAGAAAGATAGAAGGCTAGAGAAGGACTACAAAGAGAAAATAAGAGGAAAAGAAAAAAGAGGGAAATAAAGGGAACAAACACAGAAGAAGACGGAACAAAGAAACAGGCAGAGCGAGAAAAAGATAAAAAAAAACAGAGTAAAAAAATAAAAAGGGGAGTAAGCATAGCCATGTACAGTAGAGCATTGCAAAGGGTGAGAAAGAGGCAGATGAGAGGGCAAAAGAATAGCCAAACTAGCACCAGCCAGGTGTTCTCTAGTTCTACAGGGACCAAACCTAGAGTGACTTAGTGCAAGCTGGGCTAACCTTTTTTTTTGTTAATGTCATCAGCACTATTTTAGTTGTGGCAAAGTACTTCCGCCTCGATATATGGTATGCATGTGAAAATAGATGCAGTACGGCAGTCATAATTTTTACGAAAAATCTGCATAATATAAAATTAAGAAAAAAAACAGCAGAACACAACTTTTGTACTCTCCTTATACTATTACAGTCTGTGCTAATTGTCATGCCAACTACTAACACTTGTTTCAAATGTACAGCAGCGATAATATAAACTAAGTGCGTGCCCCTGGTGTATAGAATGGAGGAAAATCGATCATAGGGCCCATTTCTTTGTTGGACACAAACATATGAAGTGAAGATATAGTAAAACCAAAAAGAGCATTGCAGAAGTTTTTAATGTATAACAGCAAGAAAGTCCACAAGACCCACAGAAAATATAGCAGAGAAAAGAAAGAACAGAACGCATATAGTTTTTTCCCCTAGCATTTTGACCTTGGCGCGGCCAAGTACTCTGACAAAGGCCAGGCAGGGTTGGGAAAAAAAAATTTATATATTCACAAATGCAGCCTTTTCTCATGCACTGGGATATGCAATTTTTGGAATTTTTTTTTTTTCTCATTTGACATTACAGTTCTTCACATTCAGCCTTCTCTGCATTTGTCATGGAATACCAGGCAACTGCTATTGCTTCTCTGGAAACAGACAGCGCTTCCATTTTTTTTTTCATTTTTATTCCTATAGTTTACAGCATTTGGAGAGATTACCACAAATTGGCTAGTGACTGCTCAAAATGTTCCAAGTATCGGCAATATGATGCGATTATCATTACACATATTCACGAGCCACCCTACTCCACAAGCACAGTCATGCTCTATATTCTGTATGCACTTTGGGCTGCTTGCGCTAAAAGCAGCTTTATTTTTTTTTATTTGATGCACATATTATAAAGTGAGGCTTTGTAAAGTACCATGACTATAGAGTTTGAAGATATGTAATATGTAGTACTCTTGGAAGCGCATATTAGAGTTTGCCTACACTTTACTTTTGCTATTTTATTACCACCTTATCACTATTCTATTTGATATTTTACCTAGGTTTTAACCAGAAGCCATACAGTTTCCCATCAATACATATTCTACTTTGTATGAGTTATTCTGTAAGGACCTGCCATTCCACCCAAAATGTTACCTTTTTTTTTTACACGGCTGTAGATAAATAAAAAGTTTCCTACATCACAGTTATCGAAATTACTACAACTTCTACAGAAAATTTGCCCGTTTCACATGAGAATATTGCTGCAGTGACAAAATGTACCCTCACCTTATGTGATAATACTGTGTGACATGAAGAAATAAAATGAACCAGTTTGTACAGTTCCAAAAACAAATCCATTGAATAGGTAACCTGTGCTAGAACAACTAACACCAAAATTTTATTTCACTACCTCAGCTGTATGAAAGCTACATACTCGTACACCAATCCAGCACTTAATACTACGTGAGTAAACAGCGAAAGACACACTCACGCCAGGTAGGCGTTGACATGTAGACTGTCGTAAATTTTGCATGCTTGCATAACAAATCTGCACCAATCCGCAAGGAGCCAGTTCCACTGAGGCACTGAACACCAACTGCCTAGGGAGAAAAAAAAAGGGGAGGGGCATGAGGTCTGAAAAATTTTATCCACTGAATATTTCAGTCGCTGACAGTAAAAGTGTATCGAATATAATGATGGAATTACCACCACCAAAAAACACCACAAGCCTTATTTTTCCAAAGTTTTCTAATGCTACTTGAAAAAAAAAAAAAAGTTTCTTACATCTGTACTCTGGGGTAATGAAATTCTTGAAATGAAACACAGGTTCTTATGGTGATTTTGAATATGTCAAGGTTTTATAGTAATTTGCATAGTTTCCGTTTTGTACCATGACAATGTGTGAAATATAGCTCTTTTTGGACACCCTTATGAGCCATTGTTGGCTCATACTGCTTGACATTAACTGCACATGCAAGTAACTAACAAAAAAGTTAGTGTAAGACAATTCAATTAACAATAAAATTTTGATTGAAAAGTCTTATAATGCTCAGCCCATAATAATTGCTAACTTTGAGTTCATAATAATTATATACGAGGTATCAAATTTTAAGGAGATAATTTAACTCTTCTCATGTTACGGAATATGTGGGCAGAAGTTCCACCTGATGGCCATCAGAAGTACCAAAAACATGATGTCCGAACTAAAGAAGTTACTCAAAATTAGATCTTAAAAAAAAACACGCCTTAAATGTAGAAATGAAAGCTCTCCTATGTGGCAAAAATATTTTTAAAATAATTTCTTCAATCATGAGGGCTTGGGAATCATGGTTATTTTGAGCATATGGCTTCGATGAAGTCCTCAGGTGAAATGCAATGAGAAGCAGCCAGGTGACAATTTCCAAGGAATGCTAGACAATGAGCTCTATTTAGTTTTTATAGCCCCCTTGTGCTCTTCAAAAGCTATTTTAACCTACTCCAAGTTTAATTACAACTTTGTTCCTTCTTGGTCATGAAAAAGAAGCTTAACTTGTGAAAGCAAGTAATAACAAAGAATATGTAATTTTGAAAAAAAAAAAAAAAAAACGTGAAGTTTACGAGTAACATCTCTCCTTAAATGCAAGACCGAGTAGAGTAATCTATTTCCATTAGATATTTTACACTGTTTCAAGCTTATGCAAATGACAAAGTGAGTATGAGCATGTCACACCTTTTCTTTGTGCAGACACCTGTCAGTGCATGCCCTTGCTCGACATGAAAGGCCTTAGATAATGCATGTTGAAACAGCATTACTGCAAATGCACAAGTTGCAACCTCACGGCATGGCACTTGCCATATAGTAATTCTTGTTCTCGACTGTTTCAACGATGGCACTACCGCTGAGACAGGTGAACAACAAATAAACATGGGGGCCATACTACAAGTGAAGGTTTATTGTTGAGATTGTCAAAGACAAGGGATGAAGAGGCACATTTTAAAATCAGCTGAAATTATAATAAGCAACTAACTAGCTCACCAATACCTCTTGCTTGTGCTGCGGAACCTTCCAAATGAATTTACGATATCTGCTTGTAAAACCAAAGTTGTAAATATATTCCCCAAGAAAGTGCTGTACTTTACAAAATGTTCAAATTACTGCATTCTGTGTTTTTTTATCACGTCTAAAAGTAACATGAAAAAGATTGCCAAATGCTTGGGAAAGAGTGCCATCTTCAGATTATAAAAAAAAAATAATGTTTTACAGCAATGAATGGTAGCAGTAACTGATAATAAATTATACCGTATGCCATAGTTTTGGTTAAGTGCTCTCTTAATATCAAATTTTTCATACAAAAAGATTGCTAGGATCATGACTTTCCCTACTGAGGTGAGCTGTAGATCCCAGAACACCTGACCCACTTCAGATGAAATCACCCATGCACTGGGTGTTTTTTTTTTTTTTTTACATTGGCACACCTAAAGCCACATTCAAATGAGCAAACAAGAACTCGTGAATAATTTTTATTACTACCTTGGAAGCCTTTGATATTGAAAGGTAGCAGGGCATGACAATTCATGGCAGGACTATTTTTTTCAATTAAAAAAAAACACCTAATTTGAGATAATAATCAAAGTTTTACCCTTTCAACCCTGGATTTTTTATTTTGGTCGGGTAAATATTTTGTGTGTTTTGTCCTCGTTGGGACCTCAGAAGACCACAAATAAAAAATTGAGCCAGTGATGCAAAGATTTTCGGATTATTAATGTGGCATCAAATTAGGTAGTCAGGGCTCAGTGATTGAAAAATGAGAAAAATGGCTTCTTTTTTCCTGCTAATCAATAGTAAACACAAAATGGGTACAAACGTCTTCCTTGTCAACCTAATTACTCACTGAAACAGATTGTGTACGTCGTCTGAAAAATGGCAGCAGCCATTCCAGCGCTACTTCTTGCAAATGAGCAAACAAGTTTTTTTGCACTTATTTCGAGTTCAACATAGAAACAGATAAGCATTAAACACCAAACACCAAACGCAAGGCTTAGTCCGATCGGGTATTTTAGATGACTTGCCCTTTATTCTGAGCATATTCTGCTCCAACTCATTCTTTTTCAAAGTATGTCACACGAGTTTCCGGCATGACGTAACACCACTGACTGATTTTCTGCGCGGCCCCGCTACACTCACTTTCGGCATCACCAAGACTGGGCCTTAAATTTCGATGATTATTGTGTCATTACTCTCTCTCTTTTTTTTCTTTTAATTAAAGAGCCACAACTTGTCACACCCTACAGCTCTTTAAAATAAACAGCGGCCCTCAATTTATATATTAAAAGTGAAGTTTTTGTTAATAATTTGATTGTAACTTTACCTGTGGCACAGTTTCTCGGCCCGAGCGTAAAGTTCATTTGCGAAAATGGCGAGCTCCTTGCCGTGATGGAATGTTTATTAAAAAACCTCTATTGTCTAAAACAAAGAACAAACAACTGAAAAACACTGTATTTCCAAAAACTTCCTTAATTACCACATTCACTATGGCTGGCATTGATTCGCATTCCTAAAGCACACATACAGTAATAACCAAGAAAGTTGGAAGAGGACACGAATCTAGCCACAGTTCAGTTGGTAGAGCACTGCATGCCTAAAAAAATGGTTCAGTTCACACTGGCAGCTAGTTCTTCTGGCCCGCATTATTTTCCCTTTATTCCATAATCAGTACATTTCAGTAAAACACTACAAATGACACCCTCTATCCTTCTATAGCTTTATTGTGAGTTAATGTAATTTGTGTCTAAAAAAAGTGGGGCCTTCAATCCATTCTCTTTTTTTCACATGTGCCTTTTTTTTTCAATACGAAAGCCTTCCACGCTCTATAGTTAAAAAAATGAACTTCTTGAACTCTACTTTTACCACAATGAAGCTCAAATTTCTTTTTTCGGTGTCACTGTATCACAAGACACACATCATCCTATTGTTACAGCCTAAAAACAAAAAATGATATAGTATGCATTTTAATAATAGTGATGTGACTTCCCAAACAATACAGTTTTGCGCACATGGTCTAATAGTATGGGCAAAAACAGTGTGCAGACACACGGACAAAGATAAGGTAACATAACACGAGCACCGACTCTCAAGTGGGATTTGTTGGACTATACAAATCACTTAAGCATAAGAAAGATCACTTAAAACTATAGAAATCCTTAAACCCTGTCCTGCCTGTACAGTACTCTCAGCGTGAATTTTTTCTATTTGCATCATTGCAATCCCTATCATCAGCTCCTCTGCACATGTTCATTGTGTTTGCTTCATAAGCAGCGCACGAAGATAAAGCACAGAACATCTTTTTCGTTCCTTTCATGCTTTGTCGCCATGTTCTGCTTCACAAGTAAATATGAACTAACACCAACTTGCCGAACTTACATTACTGAACTCATTAGGTTTATCGTACATGTATAAATGATCTGTATATTCTAATACTTCCCACTTGAGAGTGAGTGCTTTTGCTGTATTACCTTATTTTCGTCCCATCCGTCTGCACGCTTCTTTTGCCCATAATGTATCATTAACTGGCCCAACTTTCAGTCATAATCCAATAGCTAAATTGTTTAAGAAAATTCATGTTTTCTATGTTGCACACTTCCAGAAAGTACCACACTTACGTAAGTGTAAATACTATCAGAAGCAATTGGTCCACTTGATCAGGAGAGTCTTCTAGCACAATAGATTGCATCTACTATACAGAACAAGAACCTTTCTTGCAGCTTCATTACTTTTTTTAAACTGTTTGTATTTAATGTGCATGTATTTGCACTGCTTATATTGTAAATTCTATTCTATTGGATAGAAGCTCTGGCATCAGTCGTGATACAGCAATTATGAATTATGATATGACTTTTATTTATACATATACTTTTAAGTTTTGGAACTACTATTTAGAAATGTTTAACCCTATGAAAGCATTACACAAGTGCTTAAATGGCAATTACTCGACCGTCTTTGATGGCTTGATTTTCATTGCCCAACAGCATGCCAACTGCTGCCTTGCTGAAGTCATCCAAACCAAGTTGCCCAAGGTATTCATGGTTAAGTGAAGAATCCTCAGCCATTTCTTTTTCAACTTTACGTACAACAGGTAGAACCCATGGCTTGGCTTCCTCGGTTCTGTAAGCTTGAAGTATAAAAGGGCATGACACAATTAGAGCCTAGAATAGTTGGCTCAACTAAAATAAATGCCACCTAGCACAGAGAGCTGAGCTAAGTGGGAGGCATGCATGTTAAATAGACTGAGCTAGAAAGCACGAACACAATATAGAAGTCAAGGCATCCCGAATGCCGTGATGTCTGCAGCCTTAATCATATAGCCTAATTATCCTTTACAGACATGTATCATCACATCAAAGGCACTTCTCCACAGGCACATATTTCAGAACGAAAATTGTCCAAGCTTATACTTGCTAGCACCGTACGAGCAGAGGGCACCCAATAAGTAATCCTGTAAAAATTACATTTACATGAAATTGAAAATTATTACCACTCTGAAATAAGCAAGGTTTAACATGCACAATTTAGTAGCAATGCAGTATTTATTTTTGCAACTTAGAAAACACCAATTATGGTAAGCCTTGTCAAACTAACAAACGTGAGCTTCTGTGTCAATGACCTTCCCATCACTTCTCAAGATGCATGTTGTCTTGAATGTTGTGCATGGGTGTTAACGTATTCCCTCTATTCTTAAAGTCTTACCCTGAGCAGGCATTCTCATGTTGGCTCACAAGCCCAAATTACATGGCTGTCAGAGGACCTCTCGTTGGACATAACACCACGAAGGCTCCCTGGATGACCGAAAACACACTCACCTATTGCCACAGAGCTTGGCCAATATGGTGTAGTACAGTGGAACCCTTTTACAAGAGACAATGATGTAATAGACAATTGGTTTTAACAGACACTGTTCACCCACATGGTTGCCCACCCTATCTATCCCATTCATAATATTTCTTTTGCAACAGATGCTGGATGTAGAAGACAGCTGGTTGTAGGGGTCAGGTTATTCTTCCGTATCAGTCAACAGTCTCACTTCTAACTAATACTGCAACGTTAGCTGCACAGCCACCGGTTCGTAGTAGCAGACATTATGGAATCAAAGGGAAATGACAGACGCATGCACTCACTGTAGAGAACAACTTGAGCAAACACCCAGCGGGTCAATCAGCTTTAAAACGTAGACATCTGCTTGAAATGGGAATGGAATGAGTTATAAAGGAGCACTTCAACCTTTTCAAAGGTAAAATTTCAGCTACACATGTGGGCATCTGTCTTGCTGAGAAAAATGAAAAGCACATGGTGTGCTCTTCCATTATTTCTACTCCAAGCCCATTCCTCTTGCAGCAATACATCAAGCATTGCATCTGTCTGCAAGGATCAAGTACAAACAGAGTGCACTGCAGGCACTTCCTCTTTTACTGTGTCCAATTAATGGCAAATCAACATGAAATTTGCAATCAAAGCAGTCAGCTGCACCTCGGCTGGTGCCCACAAGCCATTGTGCCAATTAACAATGATGTGAGAGAATAGCCAAGTAGTGTGCGAGTTGAGCTGGAGAAAACATGGATTGTGTACTCTGTGCAGCAACCTAACCAATGAAGTGCATAGTATAAAAACAAATGGTTATAATAAACATGTTGCAAATGGCTGTAGGATTCTTGTGTCAATATTTGATTGGAGTGTACTTACATCAAAATATGGATTGAGCAGATTATGATAGCATGGTGCCCTGCTTATGAGAGACCCATCATATAAAGTACAAGAACTGCTTCTTCGTGCATGTCTCTCACAAAGGGGTTATATTGTACTCTACCGCTGCCTCCTATGTCCACCGCACAATAAACTTGAACCTCATTATTCTGCAGATGCAAGCACTTTGCCAACATTGTGGCTGACAGACCTACTTGTGTTCCGCTAAACACCACCAGACCCAATTCAGAACAGACTGCAATTAAAACATCTGGAAATGTTGCATCACATGTAGTAATGAAAATATATACAAATTCTGAAATTTTACATGCCAAAACCGAGATATAACAATGACGGCATGCAATAGTGAGGGACTGATCTATCTCCATTACATTGGTTTCTGTATTGTACACCTAAATTTAAAAGAAAAATTGATTGATATGTGGGGTTTAACGTCCCAAAACCACTATATGATTATGAGAGACGCCGTAGTGGAGGGCTCCGGAAATTTAGACCACCTGGGGTTCTTTAACGTGCACCCAAATCTGAGCACATGGGCCTACAACATTTTCGCCTCCATCGGAAATGCAGCCGCCGCAGCCGGGATTCGAACCCGCGCCTTGCGGGTCAGCAGCCGAGTACCTTAGCCACTAGACCACCGCGGCGGGGCTTTAAAAGAAAAAGAGTTTTTGCCCTTAAAAGCCATCAAAATTCAGCAGGTATGGCCAGGAATTGAACCCGTGCTCCTCAAGCTGAGCAGCGCAACACCTTAACTGCAAAACTACCATGGTGGATGTGCAATAAATGCTGTAAACTACCATGGTAGGTACATTGTGGCCAAGAAATAAAACACAACCAATAGAGTTTAAAGGTAAAGAAAGTGCTAAGGGAGACACCTTTGTTATGCACTGGAATTCCTGAGTATATGATGATTATTATTCATTAAAAATGAGGGGAATCAGGTCAGCACACTTCCTCAGTGATGGTCATATTTATTACTGTGTCCTTCCCGTATTATAAGCGGCTTTTTTTTTTTCAATTTTGTTTTACACAGATCAAAAATCAAAGGAGGTTGCAAAAAGAAAAAAATAATAAGTAGAATGTTGTCACGTCTAACCCTAAATATTCGCACAAAAATGCGAACTTGGAATGCTACTTATGGTACACCACAAGCTGCTGAAAATGCGATAAAAATCACATGACTTGTATAAACACTTTGCTAAACTTGGTAACTGAACTGCATTACAACAGATGTGACATAAAAGTTGGCTGCCTTAGTTTTGCTCCCCTCCATTGGTAAATAAGGACAAAAGAAATCCTATGAAAGATGTACACATAAACATCTTCTAATTAATTTGTGAGTCTGAATGACTTCTTGGCAAGCATTATACCTCAAGTCTTAACCTTGCTTACTTTTGAACAAACATTCGATTGTGAGTTCACTTTACTTTTTCTGTCAGCCAGAACCAACTTGTGTATAAGTTATATTTCTAGTAGAGCTAACCTTATGCTGAAATGATATGCACATTTAAGTTTTCCATTTCACTTCAGTTATTTACCATAAGAGACCAGTATCGAGCACTTACACAGAGGAGAATGACAAGAGTGAATGTGTTAAGCTTTAGAAATGAGGTAACTGGCAAAACAACCCAATCTAACCTCAACAACTAAGAAGCTACAGTGTGTGTAGAGGTAGCATGAAGTGATTAAGCAAAACAATAATACAAGATTGACCAGCAGTAGCCCATTAGAGGTAACACATCATTTGAAAACTTTTCACTCAATATAAAAACAATTCTGATAAAAAACACATAATGCAACAAATACAAAAGTAGGCAATAAAGATCAAAAACTTAGCAAGCCTTTCACAAACATACTGGTGCTTCATTTGTATTTTTTTAAATTAAAACATAAATGCCGGAGGCAGGCAAACTCGGACATTTATTCTTTGTAGTGCTGGAATGAAATTGTCAAAGTGAGGGGATACAATTTTGTTATACGACTGTGAAAAAAACAAAAACAAAAACAGCACAGGCCAATGTGAGACAAATTTAAGGAAGGCTGTAACACCGTATCATTTTTTAGACCACTATATGTAGTAGCTGACTGTCTGCAAGCGAGGTTAAAGCATAACGCATGTTAAACTAAGTTATTTATTAAATGAGTGCCATTAACAGATAAAATTCTACTTGCGGTACTCAGTGATTAACGCAGCTTGAATAACTTTCGGATTAATTTACTAGCGCACACGAAGGCGCACAATTAAAAGTTAGGTACTACATGTATCCCGGAGATACAACATACAAGAAACAAAACAGATCCGAAGGATAATAACATAAAATTTACAGATGCTAACGCTAGCCTCTGAAGTCAGTTAAGCAAACAAAGGAGCAACCCAGCGAGCCAAAATTGCCATGTTTCGTTCCATCGGCAGTAATATGTCATTGATCATCGTGCTCTACGACGACTACACAAATACATTCTTGCACGAATATGTTTATTACACTGCACAGATTTCGCTTAAAGGGCAAACTGAAGGCAAGAATGATAGGTAACGCGCCGGGGAAATGATATTTAGCAGCCTACCTCCCACACCGAGATCCACTTTTTGAGCAAATGCATCAGCGCGATATGCTCGCATAAGAGCAAATATTTCAACGGGTGGAGCAGCTTCAACACACGAAAAACGAGACATTTTGCCGGCGCACAAATCCCAAGTAGCAGCGTAGATACGAGAGTGGTGATGCGATCGGTCTGCTCAGCTGCAACTCAACGCGTAAGGGCACCTTGAAAGCGGAACCAGGTACGGGAATGCGGCAGTGTACCGAGTGTACCGTTTTCCCACCAAACCAATGGGACGGTGGTGGTCACTTTTGCGATGGCGCCACCAGTTAACGCCACCATCGAACGGTGCACCTAGCGCGCGTAATTTGAAATTGCACTGCCGACTTTTGTACACAATTTAAGTAATAAAAGTCACATAACACAAATGAATATAAAAGTATCTGTAAGGCTAATCAAATCCAACACATATAAATCAAATATTGTGATAAATAATTCTGCTTTGGCGAAGTACACCTCTTACAATTCCTATCGCAGAACAGAGACCCAGATTGTCTGCTAGCTTATTGTTTTAACTACAGAAGGGATAAAAAAGCACATCCCTATTCATTTGATCAATCCGTACCCCTGCCTATCTATCACACTAACTTGTGAAAAAACAAACGAGGCGGCCCTGAAGGATAGCGTTATCAGCGAGCGAGTCCCTGGTGCATTCAGACGACGGATCGAATCCCGATGTGGCGGGACGGACGGCGCGTCACGTGACCTCACATCAGCGATTCCCCTCGTCCGCGACTCGTCCGCGCGGCTCGCGGACGGATGAACCCAACCTGTTTCTCACATCGGGATTCTGGCGGGGGAGAGCCGGTACTTCAGCGGATTAGCTCGGGGTCGGTGGCAACCAGTACACTTTTCGTCTGCTCGCGGCATGTCCTCCACGGCTCGCGGACAGCTGCATGACTGGTCGGCATCATCTACGCTTGAGCATTGTTTACTTAGTTTCTGGAGACTTTGTTCTCAGGTGATTAAATATGCAGAAATCACTTTTGGTGGTTCGGGAAATGTCGCCGCCGTCGCTCAACACGCGAGATTAATCTTAGCCGTCATGGTGGTGAAATATTCTAACTTTTGCAACCGGCGACGTGCCGCTTCTAAAAAAAGGCGGGAGACACGTTTAGAAGTTCTACAAGTGGGGAATAATGTAGTTGAAAGAATATCCTGCTCGCAACTCCCTTTTCTCCTGAAAGAATAACACTACTCGTTCATTTCTCACAACACGACAGACATCGCAGCCAAGCTTCGCTTCTTGCGGGCATCCATGTTGAATACTCTCAAACCGGTCTGCTGCCAGCGGGCGCAGGTGAGCGCCGAATCTGCTGTCGAGGGTAATCCGGCTGTTTTCCCCTAGGACACCGTCCGTCGTGTGGATGCGCCTGCAGGCGGACCATCCGCGGATTAGCTGTCCGCGTCCACGACAAATCCGGATTCGGTCCGTCGTCTGAATGCACCATTATAACGAACACTTACCTGCATGAGCCACGAGAATAAGCAGTTGCGCTGTTGAAAAAATAATAACGTTCAAAGAATATTGCTGCATTTTTTTACTTTTTTTCTAATTTTTACACGTTTTACGACTGGCGCAGCAACTACAAGTGCCAATCTCGAAAGCCTTGTATCTCAGCTGCTCAAAAGTTACTTTATAGGGCGCCGAAAAGTGACGACACAGTGGTACGGTGTGCTCCGGCTAGAGGTGTGCGCCGAGGGGTCGGCGCGCCGCCGCCGCTGCGGACGTGTTTTGTCGACGTGCCATTTAAATAAGTTTTTTTTTTCAGCTTGCCTACGTTTATTTTGTATCTTCTGTCACCAGTCTGGCCTTAATTCTGTTCACTTCGCAAATGCATCAAAATTGGTTCACCTGCCATTTCAATTTAAATAGGTGGACTATAAAAAAAAATCACTTTTCGAGTGCTGTCAATAATGTTGGATTATTTTAAACGTGAATTTGAAGATGCTTTTGAGTTCACTATATTTCAGTGAATCCCGTTCAGTGACAACGCCAACGGTGGTGTTTGGCGATGACTGTAGACATATTCCACCCGACGAGAATATGTAATATGTGAGGTGGGCTTTGAACAATGAAGAAGGGTGGGGAAAGTCGGTACTGGAATATTCATAATTATGATTGTGCAACGGAGTCGAAGAACAAAGGCAGTTCAAATGCGAAGGGTGGGGGCCAGAACCGCGGACGGGCAAGGTAGAAGCGCGATGTGTATTGAAGATACTGTTATAACTGAGGTAGGGCTAGCTGTTTAGAGCATATTTACGAGAAAAAAAAAACAGCTAAGAAACTGGCCTAAATGCATGGCCTTTAATGAACAAAGAAAGGTAAAATGAAAATTATATACGAAATGCTCTATCAAACAGAAACGATCTCCGCTGTATCGACAGGTTGAGCAAGATCAACAATATTGAACGAAACGGTGATCACCATAAATTAAGTTTGTGTAAACTGTGAAATAACTCACAGAAGATGAATGCAGACGAAACACTGAAGCGTGGACATGTATTTTCAACGTGTTTGTCCTGCACGCCGTGCAGTGCGCCACGCTACGCTATCGAATCAAGTAACCTGCGTTTCGTTCACCAGTTTTTATCTCGAACTTAATTCAACTATCTATAGATGCCGATTTGTCACAACCTTGTTTGAAAAAGGACACCGCGTACGTACCTTGCTCGGCGAGTTGGTTTATAATATTTTTGGAAGAACAAACTATAAGGAGCTCAACCTGACAGGGCATCAAGCGGAATGTTTATGGCGGAAAGTCGACAAACCCATGTAACAGAAGCGAATTCATGAAAAATAGGCTGAGGCGTTCCACAGCTGCACACCTAACACTACAAAGGCAAGAAGCGTGTCAACATGGTACAAAAAGCAAACTTCCGTGATCAACGCCACGTGCATCCGCTATTTAGCAACGCGAATCCCTTATCTAATTGATTGATTTGATTTGATATGTGGGGTTTAACGTCCCAAAACCACCATATGATTATGAGAGACGCCGTAGTGGAGGGCTCCGGAAATTTAGACCACCTGGGGTTCTTTAACGTGCACCCAAATCTGAGCACACGGGCCTACAACATTTCCGCCTCCATCGGAAATGCAGCCGCCGCAGCCGGGATTTGATCCCGCGACCTGCGGGTCAGCACCCGAGTACCTTAGCCACTAGACCACCGCGGCGGGGCGAATCCCTTATCTAGCTTTAAAGACAACTGAAGCATCACTTATACATTGTTACGCCTGGAAGTCCACACTGAACGTCAATGCATCTGCAAAGGCAATCTGTGTCAAGGCCAGCGCTCGAGCCCGCCTGACGCAATCAACTCCACGACGTCATCAAGCGGCGGCGTCAGTCTGTCACGAAACGCACAACGAGCTCCCTGAGCCCACGAGCCCGATGAAGCAATCGGCGCCTTCCAGTTTGGCGAGTCTTACGCAATGCGTGGCTACATCCCTCGTCCTTGGGTGCAACTTAGAAGATTGGCAGCTTGGGCTAGTTGGTATGGCATGACGATAGTTATAGCGCGAGAACAAAACGACGACACAGAGACAATTTCGTGTCCTTCTTGTCTCTGTGTCGTCGTTTTGTTCTCGCGCTATAACTATCATCGTCCTTGGGTGCAACCACGCGCAGCGGCGAGTCCCCGTTGGAGGATTCTGATATTACGGTCAGCGGCGCTTCTGGTCTGACGTTGGTGACTCAAAAGATCCACCCGGTGCCTATAAAAAAAAAAGCCCAGCGGTGCTTCACCAGTAGTAGACCTATGTGTCAGAGAAGCCTCTCGTTGCTTCAAGTCTCCACGCTGTCGGCGCGGCCGGTGGCGCCCTTCGTAACCTCGTCGGCGGCACGCCTTCGTAACAACATGCGTTGCACATTGATCTTTTTGTTTTTTTAAGATTTCAAAATCTTCACGTTCAATCTATTTCTTCCTTTGCCGATGACACTGATATATTGGGGACGCATGAGACTAGCGAAGAGGTCAGTTTTGTGCCTGAAGGATGTTCACACTAGGCCTCAACCTGTCTAATCTCTGCAGACATGGCTGCATGACAAAGGAATTTCTTTCAAATCACCGAATGTCATAGGCAAAAAAAAAGATTGAACGCGAAACTCGTGAATCCTTCGAAATAAAAACAGAGCGATATGTGTCATGTGTGATTGATCTCCCAGCTTCCCTCACAGATAAACTTGGTGTTAATATTTAGGTGTTCATTGGGCATCGGCTGCCTCATACCACCACCTTGAGACATTTGTTGAAAAAAAATGAATGGTTAACTGTAACTGTTTTTAAATAGCCTTTTAAGCATGTGCTTCTGCTTAATTTTTGTAGGCGCTTTCTTTATTAACATTTAGTTTTAAGTCCAGCACTTGTCTTTTCTGGTTCCTATGCTGCATTCATGTTTTTCATTGATTTCTTTTTGCGTAGATCGGTAAATATCATCCCTATTATCATAATGTAGACATAGCAACCACCCTTCTTCCATAGTTCACCATCATAAACGCACACAAAAGGTATTCATCAACGTGCGACGTGAACGACAGATGTGTTCCCATTATAAGTCGGCAAACTCACTGATGAGTCTATCAGAGGAATTAAAAGACTCAGATTGAGGCGTGAGACAGTGTCTGAGTGAGTGCGGCCGAGTTATACTTAGGTAAGTCTAAGTCCGGGTGAGCCCAGCTGAGTTTTACCATGGTGAGTCTGAGTTCAAGAGAGTTCCTAGTCTGATTCAGCAAAATTATGATTAGTCTGGGTCCTTCTGAGACCTATGCGAAAAAAAAAATATTTAACGAGGGCTTCTTTTTTATTTTGCTGATCTATGGTTACTAATATTTATAGTCTCATTTTATGGCATGCCCTGTAATTTTGTATGTGCCGGCTTGAAAAGCCACAGAATCAATTTTCCAAATTGTAAATCTGCCTCAATTCCCTCATCCTTGTCACTCGTTATAGTGAAGGTCCTTGATAAAAACCACTTGCTCATATCTTCGAATAAAAATGACAACCTCAACTTAAAGGCACGGAATGATACGGCGACATAAAATGCATCACTGAGATGAGATTTTAACATTATAAAATGCTAACATGACTAAGAAGCTAATGCATACTGCCTATTTCCAAAGTGCACAGTTATTTGTAAATTTGTTTGCAGTGTATATGGTCACGGAGCCATTGCCGTTCACGCCGGCGTGATTTCACAATTTTAAGTTAAAATTTCCAACTAGACGT